TAGAGATTAGCCTGTTTGTTTTATATATGAATATAGCTCTCTACCAAGAAAAGAGTTTTTTTTTTTTTCCCAGGGTTATTTGTATGCATAGAATTTTGCTGATTTGGGATTTTGCTCTACTAGCACTGGTTTGAGCTCAGAACAATAAACCAGATGCAGCTGAATAGCTAGCTGAATTAAGAAACACGAACACTGTTTTTCATCACTGGTTGCTTTTTCTGTCCTGTAGTCCTAAATCATAAAATCCAGGAGGCGTTTTCATACAAACCTTCCAGCAGCAAGCTTTTAAGAAAAGGTCACTGCCACCCTGCTGTATGGCACACTCAAATCAGAGAGGCAATTAACTTGAGGGGATACAGGAACAATGCTAAATCTGCATTTAAATACAATTTAAACAATGTTCAAATCTCCCAAGTCTGAGCGTGGAGAACTTTCTCATACTGATAAGAATTTGCTCAAGTGCTCCAACAGATCTTGATAGTCTTTCTGCAGGGAGTACATCACCACCATCTTAAGTGGTTCTCAGAGGCTCCTATGAGGACAAGTTTCTTGTTACAAATGACTTAATTATTTCTGGTAACACATACTGTTGAACAATATGAAATGAACTGACAATGATGAGACTTCCATATGTTTACAAAACAATGATATATGATGCACTATGCTTTTTAACAGGCAAAAACACTTCTGAAATCTAAGAATCATAAGCACCAAAGAGGAAGCTGGTGTACACATTTGAAGAGTCAGGTAAATTGGCAATTTTGATACTCCAGATCCCCCTTGAAGCCAAAATTGTGTAAAGTAACAGTGAGACACCTTTAGGAATAGCCTAGAATGCCTAAAGGACGCATTCCACCTGCCTACCGGATCTAGATTTACCTGCAGAAAGATAATCGAAAACTGAAATCTCTATTCCAGAACTATTAAGTGTAAAATGCATGGGATGCCAGTGGTATAATTATATCAGTATATTTTGGTCCTACATAGTTTTTTTTTCTACCCTTCAGAAGAAGCCTCCAATCCTTCAGAAAGTATTTTAAAAACCATTCTCAAGTTGTTTAATTTCCAAGATGGCAAGATTTTAAAATCAAATCTTATCTCGTATGAACCAGCTTTAGCCTAATACTTAACAGATTTGATACAGATTATGATGCATCATTCCATAACAAGTCTCAGTGAACCTGAATATAATTTAAGGGTTCCTTGAGGAATTATAAAGTTAATGCTGAGTTGCACTAAAATATTTGCTATATTGCAGTCAAGGACTATTAATCTCTTGCCGTATATTTAGGGGGCCACAACTGCACTAAAGCAAATGTTTAAAAATGCATATTGTAGAACTTTCTGGGACAATATGATTGTAATTATTGCCTATTATTGTTATTACCCTGAGTCTTCATTTCTCCTTCTTAGCTTCTAACTTTTCCCTTCTCTCTTATTCTGCCAAATAGAGGAGATCCCACTTCTTATTCATGTTTCAATGTACCATTTGTGGCTACTGCATAGTATGTCAGACCTTATCATAAGCAAATAAAACACACTACAAAAAATATTTTAATACAAATTTCCAAAATTTGATGCTCTGGGATCTGTCCTCATGAACTCCAGATTTTAAGGGGAGTTCTACAAGCAAAATCCCATATCATTATTTTGCACATACTCCAGAATTTTTATACTAGTATTAGGCACGTGCTATGCATTTATTTCTATTGTTAGAGAACACCATGATAGTCCTGCAGAAATAAAAAACTTCTTCCCTGTTAGTCTGCTCCTTCAGAAATATTAATTCATTTATGTAACAGGGTATTACCTGACCTTGCTCTGCTCTGTTGTACCGAGATAACGTAGCAAGGCGACTCTAGGAGCATGCACTTGTGACACACCAGGCCAGTGATACCTGAGGTCAAGAGATGCAGCATTTCCAAGCTCTAGAGCCTGTGAATACAGCAAATTTGCTCAGAGAAAGCTGATATCTTACAAATTGGTTTCAAAATTGACCAGACGGGGGGAAAAAAGTAAGCTTTAGAAGAATATGTGAATATCTGCAGATACTGTATAGGACTACTGTTCTTGATTACAATCTTCCTTAGTGTTGAGCTGCTTTTATACAGCTACAACCACTGAAGTCAACACACATTAAGAGCACTTGCCACTTTTCAGAACTGGGTGTTTGAACAGATACACAAAGAGATAATTCTTCAAAAAGCACACGGGTTGTCAAGAACTCTTTAAAGATACAGATATCCTTATTAAAAATAACCAGCATTAGATCAATGTTAGACAGTGTTAGATCCTGTCATGACGAACATTGTATCTGTGTAAGAATTCCTTAGTTACTGACTCACTTGGAAGTAAGTAAGAAAGAAACAATAGTGAAAATGTCCTTCCTGGTTTTCTACTTCTATCTTGCAGTCTGGAGCCTTTTCTTTTTTGTCTTCTTTCTGTCTTTTTTTTTTAATGAACATTATTTCTCATATTCTTTAATGTATTAAAAATGTGCATGAATGCAAAAAAGAAAAAAAGGCAGCAAAATCCTTATTCCTTTTTCTTTCTTAATAAATCAAACTGGACAATTGTTAGAACACTTTTTATTAGGCAGGCCTAGGTCTGTGATACAGTAAGCTACCATTACAAGAAAAGGTTACTATAGGGTAAGCCAACATACAATCTTGTGGTACATCAACTCTCTTGAAGTCAGTGGCCGTGTATATTTTTCTACTCTGACATATCCTGAGGTAGATGCAAGCAGGTTTACCCTCCAGTGAAGTTATTTTCCCTTTATTAGCCTGTTGCAGGATCTATCACAGCCCAACAATTTCACAATTGATTTGTTGGTGGCTGAGCCTTGGGGTTTGGAATGTAAATAAGACTCAGACTGAAAGGGATGTGCACTGCAGCAGCTGATACCGAGTGCAGGTACTTCATCAATTGACCTGATTTCTGAAAAACCTGCTTGCAACCTTGAAACCTGCATGTAATTACAATCTTTGCAATAAAATATTAGTCTCCATGGTAATGAGAAGTGCTTTCCTAACCTGTTTAGAAAAAAAGATGTGCAGAGACGACAAAATCTCTGAGGAAAATGAAATTTTCAGTATCATTTCACAGTTGGACAGCTTTCCACAGACCTGTCAACAGATTAGTAGCATTCTGCCCATTTTATACATGGCAAAACTGAGTAATTAAAAGCCCTCAGGCCTTGCTTGCTAAAGGAGGCTTAATTAGCTCTGTAGCAGTACCAGAACAGAAGGACACATAAATAGTTTGCCTCTGTCCATGGAGGGAAAAAAAAATGCCAATGGAAGGATAACCCTGGCATTCTCCATACATGTTCTGTTAAACGTTGTTAAGCAAATGGTGCTCTATCAGTGTCGTGGTGCAGAACTGTGGGGTGCAAATGTGGGGGATCTCTTTTGTGGCAATTCTTTCTCATGTGTTTGTGTTGTGCCTGTTTCCCTGAGAGTCTGACTCACTGGCCCTAGAAAGAAAAGAAAAAGGAAAAGAAGACGATGACGAAAAAGAAGAAGAAAAAAGAAAAAGAAAGAAAAAGTAAAAGGGAAAGGGAAAGGAAAAGGAAAAGGAAAAGGAAAAGGAAAAGGAAAAGGAAAAGGAAAAAAAGGTGAGAAGATGAAGAAGAAGACGAAGAAAAAGAAAAGGAAAAGGAAAAAGGAGAAGGGGAAGAAAAAGGAAGAGGGAGAGGGAGAGGGAGAGGAGTATTAGGGCTTATTAGGCAACAGGCAAAGAAGAAAAATGTGCTAGGTACTGTACAAAGCCAGAAGCTCAGCAGACTAAATGTTACTCAGGCAGACATAAGAACTAAGAGACTGTTTTTGGAGCCACACGAACTGACCTAAAGCCACTTGAGAAATACCCTTCGGAAAAATTCCCTGCCGGGAAACAATGAAAATAATGGCCCAAAGTCGGCAAGGCCAGGAGCCACGGCGGGACAGGCAGGGTGGGCAGAGGGGGAGGCAGTGGCTTTCTCCCTAGCTGGAGAGGCAGGGACGCCGTGGCAGCCTGCCCAGAGGGCTCTTATCAGTCCCACCTCCCAGGGGACAAAAAGAAGCTGGCAGCTGGCGAGCTGACAAGCTCAGGCTTGTTTTTCCTCATGCGGTGTTCTCCTTGACTGGTAGGAGGAAGAGAGGGTGGTTCACGTCCTACCGGGGAAAAAAAAAATGGTTTTGTTAACTTGTCTTCTCAGGAAGTTTTCCCAAAATGTCAAAGTTACCCACAGAAAGACAAATTGCCACGTTATAACCAGCACTTTGGCTTTAACCAGTTGTATTTCTTGCTTTTGTCAATGGTTTGCTGTGCAATTCTGGATAAGTGATTTTGTCTCATTATTCCTCAGTTTCTCTATCTCTAAAGCAGAGATAATGACACTTTTTGGCAAAGGAACCTTTGCCAAGCACTCTAGGTGAGAAAAAAAGAAAGAAAAACTATTCCTTCTTAAATATCTTATGCAGCCATAATAACCCATAAGCAAGAAGGGATAGAATAATGTTATTTACAAATCACAGCTGGAAATGATCTAAATGCAGTCACTTTAACTTCACTCATATGCCTTGAATTTCTCAGTGCTTACTTAGCTTACCAAAATTTAGGTGTTTATGTATGAGCTTATGCTTACAACCATACCTGCCTATGAAGCAAAGCAATTTTAGTAAAAATAATAATTTCATTTCACAAATGCCAGCTACTAGGAGAGTATAAAAGAGAAAAGTCTAAAATGACTGCTGCGGTTTATGGTAGTGTTACTCTCTGATGCTTTGGTCTGAAGTCTGGTGCTGCCTAATGTCTGCTTGTGCTGCTCACCAACTTTGCCTCAAACACCAACACTGTTTTAAGATCTTCCCGAGTATATTTTCATTTATTAGGTATAAACTGGGTTCATATAAAGCATAAACTCTTAGCTTCTCTCTTTTCTTCATCATATAATTGTTTAATTGTATATATTTCCAAGGGTTCTCTAATCATTTTCTTGGCTTAGCTTCACAAACCATCTTTTTTTTTCTTCCTACTTTTTGAATATAGGCCTCAGTCCTGGAGTTTGTTACATGTGAATGAACTCTCAAGACATCCTGCAACCCGCTGTTAGGTAAGTAGGTCTGTGAAAATGAAATAAAAGGTATGAATAAACCTGCAGGTGAAAAGCTAAAAATAGTTGAAAAGGAACCTTTGTATAGGGGGAGGAAAAAAAAAAAAAAAGGCACAGGCCCCAATTCATTGTTTCCCTGTACCTTACATTACTCAGTACCAACTGATATCGTATGACTTATCACATCGCTGGCATATTCAACACTTTCATTTCCCTCAGCTGAACAACTGGGTGGATGCAAGAATGTCCCCAGTCTCCTGCGTTAATATCAGGTGAGCACCTGCAGCTGTGAAATGCTGGCAGCTCTCAGCAGTATACACACTTACAGTCTTACTTTAATAGCCTTACATATATCTCTCGATAAAAGCCTTTTATTATGTGTGTATGTATATATACGTACAATCATTGAAGTGGAGGGTAAAAATAATGAATTACAAATAGTTTCTCATGGCACAGAGACTCTTGGACACAAAATTTCAATTAGGACTGTACAATTATTTAAATGTAAAATGTGGAAATATTCTCCAATAATACAATGCTAGCACATGCAGCCATTCTGACAACATGGCTCCAGTCTTTTACTCATGCAGCCTGAAGTAATTTTAGGAATGAAATGTGAGTATTTTTGAAAATGATCTCATGAGTTCCATTTTCTGTTTAAATTTTCTTTTCCATGTTCTGCTTCTTTGTGTCAAACATTGATGGTTACTCTCATTTCGATGTCTGTCAAAGAGAGGGTGGAGAAAAAATGTACCAGTTATGTGAAAACATTGTATTTTCTCTAATAAATATATAAAAAAATAGGCAGATGCACAGAGTGAAGCAGCTGAGATTTAATGCTCAACTTTTAACGAGCTGGCAGCATTACTTCAGACTTTTCCTGAAAGGCTCAGGTTGATTATTGGCAAGGGTTGTTTTTATCAAAGCTGGAGTCTATCTTACGCTATTTAAGAATGGCCTTGAAGGGCAGCAATGAGAGTTCTTGACGACAAAATGTTTTTGTTACCAACAAAAGTGCTTTGACCTGCTCTGACATTTGCATTGTGTACTGGCAAGAACACATTTCACAGCTTACCATATACTAGAATTTAATTCTCACTTCTCAGAATTAACTACTATTTAAAAAACATATTTGTTAACTACCTATTTGAGGAGAGTGCGTGATTAAGTGTCCACTTGAATGACATTTATGATTGTGAGGCACAACCTTTCAAATCCACCCTAAACATTACAGTGATCCACACTCAGTATAATGCTGAACAACACCAAGCCTTTGAGGGATCTGCTCTTTTGCTGCAAGGGGCAAGAACGTGTCTACACCGGCACTGCTGAGCTGTGGGCTGTCACCCTGGAGGCCTGGACGCTTACGGAAACTGAAGTTATGGGGTCTGCCCATCCATCAGTTCTCTTCTAGCCCATCTAAACCCTACTTACAAACATGCAAGGCCCTCAAACATGTGAAATTCCTACTTGTTTCCTACTAGTTAAATGTCTTGTAACAGAATAAATACTTGGGTTACAAGTTGCCTAGAGGAAGAAACTATTGACTATTAGCAAGCACGTAGCATCTTTGCACACATGATGCTTGTGTGTGCCTCAGCCATGCAATAACATAAGCAGTAGGTTACCAGTAATTAGGAGAAATTGTGCCTCATGGCTGCACCCATATTTACGATGGCTAAGTGCAGGATAAGGAGAAGGTTCACCTGTTACAAACATAAGTGTGATAAAAAGAAAAGAAAGGAAAAGAAAGGAAAAGAAAGGAAAAGAAAAGAAAAGAAAAGAAAAGAAAAGAAAAGAAAAGAAAAGAAAAGAAAAGAGAAAAAAAAAGAAGAGATGTATTTAGCAACTGGTTCAAATTGATGAGCTATAATAACCCTCCAAAGAAGCAGACTGGAAATAAATTATGCAACTGCAGCTGATTTGCATCAGATTTTGAG